CTAATGGCTTCCAAGGGCCATTGCATAAATGGCGTGAGGAGCTGTATCTGACCTCCTCTACCTGCCCTATTGCCATGAGACAGGGCTCAGATGTGCCTCCATAGTCCATCTTTCTCTACCTGACACCAACCATTCCGCCCACAGCATTCTGCTTCTATGCTGGGTACACAGAACTCACAGACAAAATTCAGAATTTCGGGGGTTTATTAGGGAAGTTAATAGGTTATCACAAGTCAGGATTAGAAACAGTAAGGATAGGCATTGGTCCAAGCAACAATACTTCTTCTCAGCCAGCAGTCAAGTCTCTCTGCTGGTCCTCAACTTCTCAGCCATGTAGTCCCTTGGCCTCTACCTCTGTGGAACAGGAAGCCTGCCTGTTGCTTTACCTCACAATTCTGTAGTCTCGGCACTCCGTATCTGTTCTGTCTCATGGTCTCCTTGCCTTGGCCTCTGTTCTCGGGCTGGCTCCTTTGCTCTGTCCCATGGTCTCCATGCCACGGTATCTGGTGTCTCTGGGCTCAGCCTTCACTTCAGAAAGGGATCTGGAATGTGTTCTTTTCCCTAAGGTTCTAGGATTTTTCTCTGTGTCTGAGATGACTCATCCACAGAGGGATGGCTTTAATGGAGGTATGGGTTTTGTCTTTCAGCAGATCATACTCAAGTTTACAAGTGTGGGACTTGGTTCAGATCCTCTACTAAAGTCAGGACTTAATTCCACCTCAATCCTATCCATTAGTAGAGAACTCCATCCAAATCGGGATTATAGCCACAAGCAGAGTCTAGGATTAGCTTGCATATGGAATTATGGTTAGAAGGGCCATATTATTGACTACTTCTAAAATAGTCTCAGGAGGTTTACCAGTCTATGTGACCAATAAGTCTGATATTTTATATGATTTTTGAGTCTTGTTTCATATTTTCCTCCCACTGTATTTAAGGCTTTTTTAATGTGATCCCTTGCAGAACATTTGGTAGTGGGAGCTGGGTGCCATCTAGGTCTTCTGGTGTCAGGGACATAGAGGCTGGTGTTGGCATGGCACATTAGACCATTGGATAATTGTTTCCATGTGTCTTTGCCTTTCTTGATCTTCATTGGAAGACACCAATAGTTATACTTTAGATGGCTGCTCACTATAGCTCCAAAAAAATGTATATACTATGCTGACATCTATTATTGAGAATTTTACATTTGCATGGACAGCTTTTGGAGACTGCAGGACAGAGTATTAGCTTGTCAGAGCCCCACTTTTTTTTACCTATCAGATTGGTGAAGGTAACAAGTGTAATACCTAGTGTTGAGGGTATGGGTAAAAACAGCATCCTTCCCTTCTGATGAAGCCTAAATGAAAGTCATGCTCACAGTTTTATCCAGCACTTTCAGTCCTAGAAATGTATCGCTCAGCAATACTTACACAAGTGGACAGAGATTAGGAAAAATATTTACTGTAGTATTTGTTTGTAATGCCCAATGGAAACAAATGACATGTTTATCAGCCCGGGCCAATGTAGGTCTAGTTAAATAAATTTTGGTGCATCCAATATCTCCTCAGTTATCCCAATGGTACGGTTCCAAAGGCCAGGCTGATGTACAAAATTGGCTTTATGTGAAAATGGAAGATAACGACATCAGGTCACAGAATAGAGGATGACTATTACCACTGCCAAACCACGGAGAATTATGATCCAGAGGAATTTACACAGGAGCTTAACCATCAAAGTCAACATTACCCTCGTATTATACTCTTGGGTGTTGTTAATGTGTAAAATAGTTGGATCGATTTTTAAAATTAGTCATAAACGAAAATGTCAAATAATGATAATCTAAAGTGAGGAGGAATACTCTACATCAGTTAAAGGTAGATCTGGTAGTACTGACAAATATCTTTTCATTATGAAAAACTTATACTACAGGACATATGGGATCATTCCACTTGTGGAGACACAACTGCATATATATGCATTACTTTTTTTAAGGTATACAAGAAACTTAACAGTGGAATATGGACACTTCATACTTTCATGAATTATTTGAATTTTATGTTTTTTAAAATGATAATGTGTTGCTTTTATAATTAAAGATTAGTTTGCAATTACAGGCCATGTATAACCTAGTTTTGATCCTAATTATAGAAATGAATAAGGAAAGATATTTTGGAGACATCCAGGGAAATCCAATTATAAATTATAGATTTAACAATAGAATTAGTATTAATTTTGTTAGATGTGATCATGGCAATGTGGTTATGTAGTCAGATGGGGAGCAACAGTAAAGCAAGTGTGGTAAATCCTTGCTGCTAGGTCTGGGTGATAGGTATGGGATTTCATCGTATTGTTCTCTTTATTTGAAATTTTCATAGAGTTTAAAAGGCAATTAAATAAGCCAAGGGAGGTCTTCGAAAAATTGAACTTCTAGCAAGTTTTCTCTACTTTAAAATTGAAACCATCAGAATCCCCAAGCCTCTTTATCAGTGAGATTTGTTGACAAAGCTGAATCAGACTAAGTATTGAGTATGAATTAGTAAGAAAACTGTAAAATGGATTTTTGTCCATGGGAGGGCATTAGTTTAATTCAATTGGCCCCCAACTAACTTAAGAAATAAGTATCTATTGCCAAAAATAAAAAATAAAAAAAACTTTAAAAAAAGGTATCTATTGCTAACTCTTAAAATTGATTTTTTTGGTAAATAAAAAATCAAAATAATTGCCAACACCTGCTTTGAAGGCTTGTGAGCATAAAGAAGTCACGAATACTCTTCATATTTACTTTCATACTGTATATAAATAAAGCTCTTAAGCATCAGAATACTGCCCTATAGTGTAACTGAAAAGTGAATGTGCTTAACTTTAGGCAGTGATGAGTAGGCTGCTTTTGACTCAAAGCCAGAAATCTAATGTTGCCATTGGATAAAAAGAAATTATACAGTTTAAGTGAGAAAAATAATCACATGCCCATATCAGATCAAAGTAATAACGAAAGTTACACTGTTCAGTAAACATTAGCCAGCTAACCACAGATTGGTGGTTCAAACCCAGCAGCTGCTCCCAGGAAGAAGCTACCTGCTCCTGTCGATTTCTGAAACAAACTCACTGCCATCAAGCTGATTTGATTCATAGACCCTATAGGAAAGGTTCAAACAAATGCCAAACAACCTGTCATCAAGGAAATACTGACTCATAGTGACCCCCTGTGGGTTTCTGACTCTGTTTAAGAAGCCCAGTCTCTGTCCCGAGGAACTGCTGATGGTTCTAAACTGACAGCCATGTGGATCATAGCCCAATGGGGAACCACTATGTCACCAGGGCTCCTTAGAACTGCCCTGTTGGTTTCTGAGACTTCTTTCTCCCTTGAAGTAGCTTGCGGGTTGGAACCACTGACCACCAGTCACTGAGAATCAGAGTGGACTCAATGGCAGTGAGTGAACCATTTAGTGAATGTTAGTTTTCAGTGCCATGCACAAACATGAGGGTATGTCAGAAAGTATTGGTACAAAATTATGGAAACACTTAATAAAAATTGCCAAAATGTAAAGCAAGTTTGTACACTTCTGAAGGAGATATTTCCATCTCTTTAAGCCTTCTACTGGGAGACTTGGTGGTGCAGTGGATTGGTTATGAATTGGCCTACTGACCACGAGGTCAGACGTTCAAACTGCCAGTGGCTCCAAGGGAGGTGAGGTTTCCTACTCCCGTAGTCAGTCTCGGAAACCCACAGGGGCAGTTCTGTCATATAGTCCCTATGAGTTGGAATTGACTTGATAGCAGTAGTTTGGTTTGTGAGTTTGAACCCTTCCATAAGAATTCTGGGGTCTTATTGACTCTGTCAAAATGACCTTAGCAGGCATCCATGAAGGATTTCAGTAACTTTTCCTCTTCAATGTCCTATGAGTTTGCGGAACAAAAAGAAATCTGAAGAGGCAGGATCAGGATGTGGAGTAGATGGGGTAACTTCCCCACCAAAATTTTCATAGGACAGTCAGTCCTTGTTACCCTCAACTTCCCTTTTCCTCACCGATGCAATTTCCATAAAACTTTTGCTTAAAAAGCCCCTGTGATCGTCCTGTCCTTCAATCCTGCTTTGGCATCCTCCAAGTCACCGTAACTTCTTGAGCTGATCGTTCTGCCTTAAACCTAACTGGCTCAGCAAATTCCCAGAAACCAGTTTGGGCTGCACCTTGCTTGTTTTGGAAAATACCCTAACTGGAACCCTAGCAGCAATACTCTTTTACTTTATGAAAATGTTGGTATTTTCTCAGGATAGAAACGGCAGAACCAGGTTTTAAAACTAAATGTGTATGGTTTTAAAACTCATGTTCTGTCTACCACGGGACTTGCTGGACTTTGTGCCTGCATTGGGATCACTCTATTATCATATTTAGCCTTCACCTAATATCTAGAATTTCAAAGGGCAGGGGGAAAAAGAGAATCATCTCATGCAATGATTTAAATAAACAAGCAACAGGTTTAGATATACCTTACTGAGAGGAGGCAAAAGGCAACCACTATTTTTATTGCTACCATTCTTGATCAATTTTAAAAATTCAGATGCAATCACTCTCTTGCTATCATCATGGAAGTATTTAATTGGATCATGTTCTCTTAATTTTAGCTAGAATGGTATTAAGGCATGTCTCTGAGTCTGTAGTAATTTCTTGCCATCTCTAAAGGGTGTTTCTCATAGTTCTAAAATACGTCATATTTAATGATATATTTATGTCAGGAGAACCACATTGGTATAATTCTTGACTTTATAATATAGTGTTCATGTTTAATTCATTATGTGAAATCTCTGTATGAGTGAATCTCTTCTTGGTCCAACATTTATTAAATATTTACTGAATATTGCCGTAAGTGCTTTATAAGTATTAACTTAATATATTTGTCCAAATGAGTCTGTAAATGTACATAAAATTTTTAGTCCTAATTTCATATGAGGCATTAAGCAATTTACTAGCTAAGAGAGTCAACATAGCTTTTGGTGTAACATATTTTTTCTGAAATTGACAACAGGTGCGATCCAGATGCATATAAAAATAATGTTTATTAATTAGGCTGTACTATACACTGACCCATCAAAGAAACATTTGCTTAAAATAAAATAAACCCAATTTCTTTTATGGGCAAGCACAATCCTGTGGTGAGCCATGTCTATAAAAACCAGGAAGTGTGGCTGATGTCAGAGGCCAGCAAGATCCCTGAAACAGCTCCAATGTTGGCTTCGGATCCTGTTCTACATTCAAACAAATATCTTCCTGTAGGTGGCAGACAGAGCTGAAATCACTCAGCTGTAGCCCCTTGTGCTTTGGCAGCATTTTCCAAGATTTTCTTTTTCCACTCTTCATAATCCTGGATCAGATCGTTGTCTTTCCGCAATTTATGTGGAATCTCTACTATCTTCTCTATCTCTATAAGGGAAAATATTCAAGTGATTTAAAAATCCTGCTTACAAAGGAAGTAATAAAAAAGTAAACTAGTGTACTTTAAAGTGTCTAGTTAAGAATGGTAATAGAGGTAAGACACTCAATCATAACTCTAGAATGCTACCATGGTTTTCTTTCTCTACTATACTTAAAACATTCCAAGATAATAGCTAACCTTTTTTTACCCCCTTCATAATAGCAGCTAACATTTATACACCATTCATCTGCCATTTTGCCAGATGATGGTGGTTTGCATATGGCTGTGATATTCAGTCATGTCACTCATGGGCAGGTTTTGTGCAGTTTGCAGACTAGGGAGAGAGAACAGGTGGACCACTTCTGAAAAATCAGCCACTGGAAACTTTCTGAACAGCAGAGGAGCACTGTCTGATTGAGTGCTAGATGAGCCCCTCTGGTTGGAAGGCACTCACAATACAACTGAAGAAGGGTGCCTCCTGAAAGTAGAGCTGCCTTTAATGATGTGGATGGAGTAAAGCTTTGGGGACTTTCATTTGCTGATGAAGCATGAATCAAAACGAGAAGAAACATCTGTAAACACTCATTAATAATTTGAGTGTGGAGTGTCAATGTATGAATCCAGGAAAATTAGAAGGCATCAAATATGAAATGGAATGCCTAAAGATCACTATCCCAGGCATTAGTGAGCTGAAACAAATTGGTACTGGCCATTCCGAACAGGATAATCATATAGCTTACTAGTCAGGAATGACAAATCAAAGAGGAATGGATTTGAATTCATTGACAAAAAGAACAACTCAAGATCTACTTGAAGTTCAGTGCTATTTGTGACAATATCCATATGCCTACAAGGAAGGCCAGTTAGTATATTTGCACCAACCACTAAAGCCAATGATAAAGAAATTGAATAACTCTACAAACTTGTGCAGTTTGATATTGATCAAACATACAGCCAAGATACATTGGTAATTACTGGTGATTGGAATGCACAAGTAGAAAACAAATAAGATGGATCGGTAGTTGGAAAATATGACCGTTGATAGCAATGAAAGATTTTTGAAAGACCAACAACTTTTTCATTGCAAATACTTCTTTTTCAACATAGTGACTATATATATGGATCTTGCCAAATGGTATCAAATTGACATCAGAAGAGACAATGGAGAAGACCAGTATTATCAGCTACAACAAATCCGAGGCCAATTGTAGAAAAGACAATTCAATTGCTCATTGGCAAGTTCAGGATGAAGTTTAAGAAAAGTAGGGCCAAAATATGACCTTGACTATATTTTTTAATTTAAAGAATATCTCAAGAATGTTGACACATTGAACACTATTGATTCTCGACCAGATGAATTCTGGGATAACATCATGAATATTATACATGAAGACAGCAGTAAGTCATTAAGACAGGATCAAAAGAAAAAATCAAAATGGATGTCAAAAGACACTTTGAAAATTACTCTTGAATACAGAAAAGCTAAAGGGACTGTGAAAAAATGATAAAGTAAAAGAACTAAACAAAAAATTTCAAATGGCAGCTCAGGAAAACAAAATATTTTAAAGTATGCAAAGACCTGGGGATAGAAAACCAAAAGGGAATAACATACTTCTTATATCTCAAGTTGAAAGAACTGAAGGGCGGGGAGATCAAGCCTCAGGTTGTAATATTGAAGGATACCACGAGCAAAACAGTGAACGACAAAGCAAGCAACCAATATATACAGTCACTGTTGCCAAAAGGACTTGGTTGATGTTCAATCATTTCATATGATCAAGAATCAATGACACTGAGGGAAGAAGTCCAAGCTATATTGAAGGCATTGGCGAGAAAAAAAGCCCACAAAACCCAAGGTTCAGGGATTGATGGACTCAAAGGGAAAAAGCTGATGCAGCTCTGTAAGGGCTCAAGACAGTTGGAAGAAAGCTACCTGGCCAAGCAGCTGGAAGAGATGAGTTTGCAATGGCACTAAATTGTGTGGAGTTTAACAAATTATTAACACTGAGATGAATCAGAATTCCAGAACACTTACTAATTCTTCAGGAGCCCAGTGGTGTAGTGGTCACATACACTGGCTGAGATTCACATGGTTGGCAGTTCGAAACCACCAGCAGTTCCTTAAGATAAAGACTGAGCTTTCTACTCCTTTAAACAGTTAACAGTCCAGAAACCCAAACAGAGGGAGAATGGGGGTGGGCGGGCTGTGGTGGGGTTGCTATGAGTCAGTATTGATTCAATGGTAGTGAGATTTTGAATTTTAATAATTCTTATATGGAACCTGAATATACAGCAAGAGAATGGATCGCTGAAGACAAAAATGGGTGCATAAGCAAATGTGGTGAAGAAAGCTGATGGTGCCTAGCTATCAAAACATATAGCGTCTGGGGTCTTAAAGGCTTGAAGATAAATAAGCGGCCATGGAAGAAGCACACCAGCCTGTGTGATTATGAGGTGTCAATGGGATCAGGTATCAGGCATTTAAGACCTAGAATAAAACCATACCCAAGGTGAATGGGGGGCGGGGACGGGGACGGGGACGTGGAGACCCAATGCCCATCTGTAGACAGTTGGACATCCCCTCACAGAGGGGTCACCACAGAGAAGAGATGAGCCAGTCAGGGTGCTGTATAGCACTAATGAAACATACAATTTTCCTCTAGCTCTTTGGTGCTTCCTTCACCTCACTATCATGACCTCAATTCTATCTTACAAATCAGATTAGACCAGAGCATCCACACTGCTATACATAAGGGCCCGTAACACAGGGAATACAGGATAGATAAACCTCTCAGGGCCAATAATGAGAGTAGAGATATCAGGAGGATTAGGGGAGGGTGGGGGGAGGAAGAGGGGAATCGATCACAAGGATCAACTAGAACCCCATTCCAGGGGGACGAAAAACAGAAAAGTGGGTGAATGGCGACGGAGGAGGGAGGGGGAAGAGATGGGGAGCTGGGGAGAATACTTTGAAAAGGATGATGGCTGGCGATACTGGGAGGGTAGAGGGAGAGTGGGTAGGAAAGGGGGAACCGATTACAAGGAACTATATGTGACCTCTTCCCTGGGGGACGGACAACCGAAAAGTGGGTGAAGGGAGACGTCGGACAGGGCAAGATATGACAAAATAACAATTTATAAATTATCAAGGGCTCATGAGGGAGGGGGGAGTGGGGAGGGAGGGGAAAAATGAGGACCTAATGCCGGGGGGCTTAAGTGGAGAGGAAATGTTTTGAGAATGATGAGGGCAATGAATGTACAAATACGCATTACACAATTGATGTAGATATGGACTATCACAAGAGTTGTATGAGCCCTAATAAAATGATTAAAAATAAATAAATAAATAAGGTATGAAATAATAATAATTTATTAACGGGTCACTAGGGTAGGAGGGGTTAGGGGGGAAAAAGAGGAAGATACCAAAGTAAATGTTTAGAAAATAATCATGGCAACATATATACAAATATGTTTGTACAATTAATGTATGGATTGTTATAAGAGCTGTAAGAGCCCCCAATAAAATGATCTTTTAATTAAAAAAAAAAAAAAGAAAAGGATGATGGCGGCATATGTGCGAATGTGTTTGACACATTGGAGGAATGTATGGATTGTGATAAGAAAAGTAAGAGCCCCCAATAAAAGTACTTGAACGAGCTCAGGCATGGCAGAAGGCTCATTAACAACCTATGGCACAAAGATGACAGACACAACCACACCAGGAAGACTAGAAAGTTACTGACGAAGATCACAAACTGTAGCCTTCAGTGTGGATTACAAGCCAATGTACAGAAAACAAACATCCTCACAACTGACTAGTAAAAGACATCATAATAAACAGAAAAGATTGAAATTGTTAAGGATTTCATTTTACTTGGATCCATATAATCCAAGCACTCATGGAAGCAAGTTAAGAAAGCATATGGTTTACTGTCTTGGGAAAATCTGCAAAAGATCTCTTTAAAGGGGTAAGGCATCAAGATGTCATTTTGAGGACCAAGGTGGGCCTGAACCAAGCCATAGTATTTTCAATTATCTCACAAAAAAACAAGGGAAGACTGTAGAAGAATGGATCCATTTGTGTACCAGGTAAAGACTACTGAATATGCCATCAACTGCCAGACGAATGAACAAATCTGTCTCGGAAGAAGTTCAACCGCATGCTCCTTAAAAATGAGGCTAGCAAGACTGCCTCTGGGCTTATCAGGAGGGACCAGTTCCTGGAGAAGGACAGCACGGTTGGTACAGTGGAGGTTAAGTGAAAAGGAGCTAGCCCTTCAAGGAGATGGCCTTTCACAGTTGCTTTAACAATGAGCTTAAACCTAGCAATTGTGAAAACTGGGCATGTTTGGGTCTGTTGTACATGGGATCACAGCAAGTTGGAACCAACTCGGAGACTCCTAACATTTATCAAGTACTTATGCTGTGCTTGTAAGACACTGAATTAAGAACTCTAAATAGTGTTGTTATTTAACCCTTACCATCCTGTGACATGCATGTTAATATTATCCAGTTTATAGATTAGAAAATGAAGCCCCTTAGAAATTGAATGATGTCCCTTAAAATTACAGAGGTAGCAAGGTAGGGTTTGAATACAGGGAATTTGGCTTAAGAATATACGTATTCTTAATTACACTGGTGTTAATAATTACTTGGAAAACTATTCTTGTCAGAAGATTAATAGTCAGAATTTATTTAAAATCTGACTCATCAGGCAAGTTGCTAAAATAGCATCCCAAACCCAAATCTACTGCCAGTGGGTCAATATGACTCAGTGACCCTACATGACAGAGTACTGCTCCCTAGGGTTTCTGAGAACAGAAATCTTCATGGGAGCAGCCATAGTAGAGCCGTTGGTGGGAGTGAACTGGGTTTGGGTTAGCAGCCCAAAGTGCGACCCACTATGCCACCAGGCTCCACTGCTTACTACTTTCAGTCCAGTGTGCACTAATCCCATGGCACTAATACTCATGTTAGCACAGTCTTACCTTTTGCTGTGGGTTCAGCTACGGTTTTCCTTTTTTTCTGTGGTGGAGTGGTTAAATCTCTTGGCTCTTCTTTAAGGGAAGAAAACATCAAAGTTAATTTTTCTATTCTTAATATGAGTATTTGAGCACATCTTGGCTCACAAACAAAAAAAATGACCTTGACTGCTACTGAGATAGGGCAAGGCAAAAGATCTTCCTCTTTTCCTTGTTTTGGCTACTCGTCAGACTTGAGAATCAGTTTACTTTGGTCTCTAAGGAAGCTGGCATTTATAATCAGAAAAGGTTGACAGAGAATTAACTTCCCCAGTAAAAATGCTTCTGGTCCATATAAATACAAAATTCAGAAAGCAATCATTTCACAATATTTTAAATGAGCTTTTACCAGATGGCTGTTTATGAATGACACATTCTTGAACTACAAGATACTCACTGTCAGTCTGCTGTCCAATCTTCTCTAATTGTTTACACAGTCGATCAAAAATGGCTTTTTTTACACCAGATGTGGCTACCATTTTATTCTTATCCACCTTTAGCTTTAGAATCCTACAAAAATAATTAGGTAAATTACCTTTTTTAATCCAGTTCAATTATCTCATCTGGCTAACCATCTAATCAATTTAATTTCTTTTAACTCTATTTTACATAGAGACCCAAGTATCTAGTTTTCATGCACGTATTAGTTATAACTATGTGTTTGCCTTTTAAGTTATTTATTTAGTTGTTTGTTGAACTTTAAATTTTTTTGTAAAACTCCAACGCTATTACAGTGAAAGCCAGGAACGTGCCGAAGAAGGAAAACTTGAATATGTTCTACCAATAGAGTGTTAAGGAGCTGTGGGATAGGCTCTTATTTATTTGTACTAAGTGGGATTAATATATATACAAATCATTCCATAGTTCAATCCAGCAGAATTGTACATTTGCTACCACAGTTCCCAAACATGCATTTTCTATATGGACCGCTTGACACTGTCACCGCTTCACTGTGCCACCAAAACCCTTATTCCACATGCTGACTCTAGAGGTTCATCGGTCCTGGTTTTCATACCTCAAAAAATGAAAAAGCGTATACCGAAACTTCAGGAGGGTGATCCCCAATGATATAACACTTTTGAGATACACCCTAATATGTACAATCAAATACCAACCATAACAATACAACCTCCAAATACCTAAGATTCTGGAAAACAGATCAGGTCCAGCATGCATCCTAGGGCTCTATTTAGGGGGTTGAACTGTCAATCTTTTCAGTGCCACCAGGGACCACCAAACACGGGCAAAGAAAAGCTAAAATAAGTGCTTATATATCCCCCCCCCAAGGGGACAAATAACAGAAATGTGGGTGAAGAGAGACAATGGATAGTAAAATACGATATAAAAAGAACAATATATCAAGGACGCACAAAGGTGGGAAGGTGGGGGAGGGAGGGGAAAAAAGAGAAGGTTATACCAAGGGCTCAAGTAGAAAATGTTTTGGAAATGATGGCAACATATGTACAAATATGCTTGATACAATTAATGTATAGAATGTTATGAGTCCCCAATAAAATGATTAAAAATAAGTAAAGTGAACAGTAGATACAAGAACAACAAACAAACAAAGAAATAAGCAGAAGGCAGATGTTACAAGGTCATTGCGGTGATAGAGCATTGGTTCTTTCCATAATAAAACCAGCAATACCCCAAATCCAATTCACTATCATTGAGTGGATTATGGTTCCTAGTGACCTTATGGAGGGTTTCTGAGACTGACCATTTTTACTGGACCAGATAGCACATCAGTCTCCTGAGGAGCAGCTAGTGCGTTTGAATTACCAGCTTTGCAGTTAAGAGTCCAACCTCTAACCCACAGTGGACAACTGCAATATAAATCATCTTTTTTGAGCCCCTACAATGTGCCAGGTGTTCTGCAGATAATTTTAACATGATTGTCCTGAATCCTCACAACTGTCCATAGCATTATAACCTGATTTTTGTTGGCTCTGGCTTCTACTCATCAGCTCTTTCCAATTCTTTTGTCCCTTTAACTGTTCTGTGAGTCCACAGTGTGTGCCTCACATAGACAGGTTCAGCAAGGGGTCTTTGCTGGATACCTCTGTGCCTGGCGTGCTCACATTGCTATGCACTAGAACTGCTTCCCTTGGGCACTGACACCATTAGTGGACGTCACCACTGTCCTCTGCTGCTGTTCCTAATAGGTTCCTTTGCTTTTGTTGGGCATTACACTCGATCCCCCTGGCTGCCATTATTGATGCCCGACATCCCAAAGGCTCCAAAGTTAAATGAGTTTATAAAGTGAAAGAACGCACCACACACTGTACGAAGGTTTTTCAGAAAATAGTTCTCTAAGATTTGTCTCCACATTATCCTGTTGTATTCCATTTAACAAATTAGAAAACGTAGCCTCAATGAATAACACAACTTGCTAGAATCACACAGCAAGTGGTCTGAGAGCTGGATTTCAGTTTGTTTAAAGCCTAAGCTTTCTCAGTGTGCCTTGATGCTCCATCATCCTTAGCTTTTCTACAGCATTGGATGACTCTGAGGGTCCCTTCTTTTGTACTTGAAACTGTCACTTTCCTTTGCTCTCAAGACTGTACACACCTTCCCAATTCTGCCCAAAGCGGTCCCTCCCTGTTTCTTTCCTCAGGTCATTCTTCCTCTCACACATTAGTTGTCACTTCTCCATGCTTTGTCCTCACCTTTATTTTCACTTATTAATCATTTTATTGGGGTAGCTTACACCATCCGTTGTCTTTCTTCATCCACATTTCTATTGTTTTCCCCCCTCGGGGATGGGGGGTGTATATATATCCAACCTTGTGATCAGTTCCCCCTTTTCCACACCCCCACCCACCCCCATGGTATAGCTACTCCCACTACTATTCCTGAGGGAGTTATGTCTTAGGTTCCATGTGTCAAGATCTCTTATCTGTACTCAGGTATAGCAGAGTTTGTAAGGTAGAACTGGGTCATGATAGTGTGTATGTGTATTGGGAGGGTGGGGGTGCACAAAGCATTCAGGAACTAGAGGAATGTTGTATGTTTTGTCAGTGTTATATTGCAACCTAGCTGAATTGTCCCTTCCTTGTGACCCTTCTGGGAGGGGATATCTAATTTTCTGCAGATGGGCTTTGGGTCTCCAGTCTGATCCCCCTCAGATACGTGCTCCTTGGGAGAAAGGTGAGGCTATCTGCAAAGATGCTAAGACTTTGTCCCATGTATTTTGGATACAGTACATACTCGAGTATAAGCTGACCCGAGTGTCAGTCAAGGCACCTAATCTTACCACAAAAGCTGTAAAAAAATGTGCTGAAAAACTCGGCTTATACATGAGTATATGCAGTATATTAGACATGTTATTAGGAGGGAGGGGAAAGACATCAAGCTTGGTACAATTAAAAGGCAGTGAAAAAGAAGAAGATTCCCCAAGATGGATCGACAGTTGCTGAAACTATGGGCTCAAGCATAACAACAATCATGAAGATTGTGCAGAACCAGGGGTTTCTTGTACTGTTGTACGGAGGATCATGAGTTGGAACCGACTGGATGGCACCTAATAACAACATCTGTTCCCGTCAAGACTTAGTCTTCGAAACCCTAAATAGTCGAAATCGACTTGTTGGCAGTGAGTTTGGTTTTCTGGGGTGGGAGTTGGGTGGAAGAAGAGGGTGCCAAAAGAGTGACAGGGCTGTACCTGGTCAAAACCCAGCAAACCCTAGAAAAACAAAGCATTACTGCCAACTTCCAACTCTTACAAGTTTCACTGTAATTGGCCAACTGATAATCATTGCAGTTTCACACTAAGAACATTGCTAATAGAACAAAATATATAAAAATTAGTTGTCGATTTCAGTGAGACACCCATTCTTCAAGGAACTACTTTTTGTTTTCTGAGTTTTCCAGTAAGACAAAAACAAATCTTGTAGATCAATGACTAACATTTACCATGGTATTATTTCAGTATAAACATAGATAACCTGTGATTCACGTATAAGAATTTATACAGAAATGTCTTATAGGTGATTTGAAAAATGGTTGTGATCATTTTGAAAAATATGACCAGAAAAGTCACAAATGTTCACTGTGTTGTGAGCAGATTTCATCACTTACAAAAGGCAGACCATTGAGTCAAAATATGTATTGTGATGGTCAGGTTTTGCATCAACTTGGCTGAGCCAGGTATCTCAGTGGTTAGGCAGTTAATAAGACCTAGTAATCCCCAGTGATGTGACCTAGAACATAACATAACCAACTCCATGATGACTTGTATTGTGAGCAGCCAAGCAATTGTAGGAGGGCAAGGGTGGAATGAACCTCTTTACTCAGGTCACACAGCCTTGATGCTGTTGGAATTCCCTTTGGGTGTGATCTACTTTCTAAATAGCTGATCTGTGGGGAAGCTAGCTTACTTCATGCTGGATCTAAATCCTGACCTCCAGTTCTTAAGGAATTAAACCAATGGTTCATCCTATTGCCTGGCAGCCATCAGTAGCCTGTCATCTAACCTATTGATGTTGGATTCACCGGAATCCGTAGCCACAAGCCTGGCCTGCTGCCACTGCATCTACCACTCTGTGGTCTTCTTGTTTTGTCAGTTAGGAGAAACCTGTAGTTCTACATTTACACAACCCATGATTTGAATTGTATTGGGCCTGGCTGTTTCTACCACTGTGAACCATTTTCTTGATATAAACTTCTCTCCCTCTGTTTGTATATATATGTATATACACATGTACACATGCCATGGATTTTGCTTCTCTAGAGAATCCAGCCTAACACATATATGAGTGATTGCCACTTGGCAAATGGACGTCTAGTTCCAAACTTTCAGGTATATTATGGGGTAAATTGGGCATCTGGTCAATTGGTCATTATTTCTAACATTACTTATAAGGGAAAATATGTTTTGGTTGTAACCAACTTCTGTTAAGTATTCTTTGGGACTGAAACACTCATTTTTAAATTGGGAGCTTTTTTTAATATTAAAAGTCATACTTACTTGCATGCTGAAAGTAGTGCAGCACTGGTGAAAAGGGGTCTGGATAAGTCAAGATCTACTTGCTGTGCCTGAGGAAGACTGGTTTCATAGCTAAGAGAAAGCAGTGTTTATAGAGTTATTTATTAGTAAATATTATTTCAAGAGCTGACTAATACACACCAATCATAATTTACAAGCTTTGATATAACAAGAGTGATCTGTCACTTTAGCAAATTATTTTATGACTGAAAATTTACCAGAATAAGACAGTGGATAATTTTGGTTTAACTAACTGTATAAATATTTAATTATGGTCTTTATGCCCATACCTTTGAAGTATCTTTGAAGCCAGGTTCACTGCTTCAGTACAGCTAAACTGTACAGCTAGGTCTCTTATTCCGATATTGGATTTCAGGCCCAGTAAACACTCTAAAGATTTAAGACAGCTCTGGTACATCTTCTTGTTCAAACCAGAAAGCTTAATTAAATAAGCCTTTGAAAAGAAACACACACATGATAAAAACCCTAAGTTCTCTAAATTAAGCTCCATTAAGCTACACACATAAACATTTAATAAGTGTTGTCAACTTCAAAATTGATTTCTTCTGTGAAAAGTTATAGTACCTAAAGGTTTAGTTTCACTTTGTCAAGAGTCAGTACTACTCTTAAACCCATAATAAAGAAAGGCAGTCATGAACAGATAATTTAAAATACAGCATCAAGGTACTACAGTCAAACTGAATAACAAAACATGGGAGACACATATGGTTACTTGTGTTCAACAAAGGTGTCCATGCAATTTACTGGGAAAGGGGAGGGAGGAGAGTACAGTGGGAGGAAAGTACGGTGGGAGGAAAGTACGGTGGGACAGTGTATTGCAAAGGAAGGGATAGGAGTGAAGAGGGAAACTGGGGGGAAAGCCAACTACAAGATGCCAATTCTGCTCGGATTAATCTAGGAAAGCTTTATAAGGGATCTAAGAGCAAGGTAGGATCATGTAAGATAAATTTCCAGAAGATACTCTGAAAAAAACAAGTTGGTGCATTTATATAGGTGTAAGTCATTGAAGTGCCTGACAGGTTAAGTGAACACTATACCTTAAGTTCAGGGCTCAAAAGGCTAAAATGTTAAATGCGGACAGTGTTTGATGGTAATGAGGAGTCCATACAACTTTGTTCTCTCATTCAATGACACCTCTATTCTCCTAGAAACTGGTGCCCCAAAACTAAAAAACACAGAACCTTGATGTAATGACGTATGTCTTATTCAAACGAGTCTTGTAAATACATAATAATCCATAGGGGTCGGCATTCAGAGTTACCTTATAGCCAGCTTGTCAATTCTGACTCATGGTCAGCCAAGTGTGGTACCACAAAATTATGTTCCATGTTTCGTTCCCCCCACCCCCCACTTCCTTTTATTGAATTGTGGTAAACATATGGGTAACAAATCACTTGCCATTTAGCTTTGTTTTTGATGCCACTATTGAGCATGCATCAAGGAGGCTTCATGGTGTAATGGTTACACATCAGCAGCTCAAAACCACCAGGTGCTCCTCAGAAGAAAGATGAGGCTTTCTACTCCTGTAAGAGTTAGTCTTGGATATTCACAGGGGCAGTTCCACCCTGACCTGTAGGGTCACTGAGTCAGAATCCACTCAGTGGCAGTTTATTTGATATGTATGGTTATTTGCTAAAGAGAGATAGACTCTATGTGTTATGATGGTCTAGTCCAGAGGTCTGCAAACTTTTGAGGCAGAAGAGCAAATCCTGTCCCTCATGGCAATTTAAAAATTACTTGAGAGCCACAAATACATTTTACAAATGAAATCAACATTATCTGAATAAGAGCTTTAAAATGTGTTGTTTTACTTCAGAGCCACATGTATGTACTGAAAAAGCCAGATGGCTCAGTTTGCTAACCCCTGGTCCAGTCCAACCAGAAATTAAAATGTATTATTTTAAGCTTCAGCGTTGCACTGGATAGTCACACACTAAACGGGACCTACATACCCTGTCCAAGGGGCACTTCATACTGGAAGCTGCAAGATCCAAGCACATAACTGCATTGCTAGTTTCCGTGGTATGCGCAGACAGGCCGGTACACTTCACATGGGTCAGTCTTAAGTACTCTTCTGCTTTCCTGGTTATAAAGGCAATGTGTTCATTAAAACTCTTGTCTCAACATTTGGGGAAACAATGATTACACTCTTGTAGACTTCATCCAGAGCCTAATCACTATGTTAGTTTATTTGGGCCTGGGAATGAAGCTCAAATTCCTTGGAGGACTCTATAAGAGTCATACTGTTCAGACAAGGGACTGCTCTCTAAACTATAGAACTTCAGCACCTCAATCAGAAAAAGTTGAATAACCCAACTGAAAAAACCAGGCAATACATTTTCATATATACACACAACGGTATACCCCAAACTTACTGCCATCAAGTCAACCCAGACTCGCATCATTAAAGAATGGTGATGAAACGGAAACAACTCATGACATGGATGGATTTGAAGGACAATTGCTGTGTGGAGTTAGTCAACACAAAAGGACAAATGTTGTATAAGACCACTCTTACAAAAATCAAGAAAGGGTTTTAATACTAAAAAAAAAAAAAAAAAAAGACTTTGATGGCTACCAGGAGTACGCAAGGAAGGGGTAGGGGGTGGGGAGGTGAAAGGGGAAGCTATAGGCTAGAAAGGTGTCAACTGGGTGAAGGGGAGATGGGGAATGAGGGAGATGGGGCAAGCCACTGAGAGGTCTGATAAGTTGATGAATGTAAAAAATGATAATATGATACATAAATATCCCCCACCTAATTTACAATACTGTTTTTTTTTGGGGGGGGGGAGTACTGTCACCTGATCCAGATGCCAAAGGTATGTTCCTTAATTCTTACCCCCCCAAAACAAACCACTCTTCCATCATCCATTACAGGAACAGCCCAAACAATCACAGAGGCAGTCTGGTTAAAACAGCACCACCTTTTTACCCCTTCCTTCAAATCAGTGAGTCTCAAATTTTAGTGGCAGTGGAGGTGGGCAGCAGATGGGGAACGTGGGCAGTTCCTCCTTTCTATTCCTTTCTTGACAAAAACATTAAATGCGGCACCCTGGAGTTTCTGATCACTAGGTCTAGGGCTGACAAAGCACCTTCCCTGCAGTTGGTCTGGCTCCACCCTTGGAGCGTGTCCTTCCCATCTCAAAGCCTTTGCAGGACTGTTGCTTCTGCTAGGGTCACTCGTCCCACTGCTGGCACCCCCATCAAAAGGGTCTGGGCACCAGTGGACCTCCCCAAGGCCCCTCCCCAACATTTTCATCTAAAGCGCCATCCTGTCACACCACCTGGTTTAATTCTCTACACAGCCCTTATTGCTGTAGACAGCGAGCTCCAGGATCTGTACAACGTCGGTCAAGCTCACCGCCGCAGATTGACGCTCAGTATTTTCGGAATGGCCATAAGTTTTCCTTGACTCTCCTTTTCCCACTGTTCCCAAGGGAGTCTACAGCCGTCCTGTCTACCTTTCTCACATAAGCCCACAGTCAGGAAAGAGTTCTTTCAGGGAGATGTAAAGTCAGCGGCCCCGGCGGCCCTCCCACTTCCTGGGGGCTGGAAGGACGCAGGCCTCGCCTGCAGGTCCAGGACCGATCAAGCTCGGGCGTCGCTGAGGGCGGGCGCAGCCGGACTCACCTCAATACATCGGGCTCAGCTATGCCCAAGCGCGGGGCGAACCGCCGGATAAGCCCAGGCTCCATGGCGCGGACCCCAAACGCTAGCGCGAGTGGCGAAGGCGCGACGAAACCCGCGCGCGGAAGCCCCGGCGGCCAGTGTGAGCAAGGCCCCGCCCCCAAGCGCCACGGGATTAGTCCGGAAGAAAGAGCGACACCTTCCTAAAACCAATCCTGGGAGTCTTTCTGCACATGCGCACCACAAGAACGCACGCGTATTTCTCCCGCCTCCCCCCCCCAGGCAGATCGTGAACGTGGGTAGCGCCTCCTTTCCATTCTTTTCTTCGCAAACCCATCAAACGTTGCATTTTCCACCTATCTTCTCTGTCGCGGCAACCGAGGGTTCTCCACTGCTCTCTTCTTTAAGTTCCCTCCGGCTCCTCCCTCACACGCTACTGCGAGACTGGCTGGCACCCAAGTCTGTCAGCACAGCGATAAGTGGCGAGGGCCAATAAGCACGCGAGACTTGGTTTCCCAGAAGCAGGCCAATGGAAAAGCCGCCAGCGGGGTCCACAGGCGGGGCTAGAGTGGGCGGGGCGGGGCGGGGCGCAGCGTCACCTGACCGCGGGAGGCTCCGCGCGGGGTGGGTGCTCATCGCTGCAGGCTCGGGGGATTCGCCATGGTGAGTGTGGAGCGGTCGTCGGGCCCCGAGACGACCCTGCTCTCTGTCCCTGCTGTCTCCGCCAGCCCGAAGCCGGCTGGGCAGGGTTAGGGCCTTGCAGCCCGATTAGGGCAAAGGCCAGCTGGTGTGGCCTGCGGAGTAGGGAACAGGCCGGCGAAGGCCGCAGGCGAGCCGGTCCCGGCCGGAGTGGGCGGCGGCTCCTGGCCGTGGCGGTTTTTCTTAGACTGGGCGGCCTCTCTCAGAGGGTGTCTTGATCTGCAGGTTCTAGGGGCCGCGGAGGCCTGCGGCTGTTTCTGACTTACAGGCGGCTGCCGGTGTCCGGCGTCTGAGCATCTGTCCAGGTCGGGGGCGTGAGGGGAGCCTGAAGCTGGAGGCGGCGGGCCCGCCCTGAGGTTGCTGCTTCCCACGCGTTCCCACCTTTGTGCTTGGTCCTGCTAGGCCAGCCCCACGCCCTTTCCTGTGCATAAAATACTGGATGCGGCGCAGTGGGGCCCTGCCCAGTCTTGGCTTCGAGGACCCCTTGGGCTGTCAGTGCTTGTCAGCGAATTCGAAGGATCTTGCATGAAATTCCTGGAAGACTCTTGCCCCCTTCTATGAACACTGATAGTCGGAAAGGAGATTGCTGCTTTTACATTTGGTTATTGGGCACCCTAACTTCACCTTAATGAAATTAAAATGTTTTACCTGATGGGAGTAGTCATTCTCCTTAGCTCCTCTCCGTGGTGGGCTGCTGGCCAGCAAACTTGAACTTCCCTAAAACGTGAACCCTGAGCCTGGTTCTTACAAAGGCTAGTTGACACTTGCATTTTATTAGCGTTTGACATAGTGTGCACTGTATAAATGTTTTCAGGTGTTGGTGTTCTATATGTAAGTCTTAATTATCTCCACTTTATGTAGACAACTTTCTGTAAGCCAGGAAACAGGCTGCACCTTAAATGTCTTATTGCCAGAAAGCAGAAATAAATTCTTGGCCTATACTACTTTCACATACACAAGATAATTTTGCTTATTTTTCAGTACTTCTCCAATAGGACATCTGTAAAAGACTGGTGTAAAAATATAACTAGGTCTTCTCACTTTCTCAGCATTTATAGATTAATATTCAAGGATAAGTCTATGGGTACATTCCAAACCATGTTTCAACGTATCTCTGGGATCAGTAGACTTGGCTGCAGACAAGTTCTTTCGATAATACACTTGTCTTGGTCTTGTTAGCGTACTTTAAAAAAGATAACTTTTGTGTGGTGGAAAAAAATGATTTTGAAGTCAGAACTAATTTTTAACAAATTAAGTGGACATCTTCCCAAGTAACTGAAGCTTTACAATAAGATTATGGGAATGTTGTCCCACATAATAAAAAACAATTTTAGATGGGTCAAGCATTTTAAGGAAGGTTGGGAGGACCTCAAGGATGAATGGGAGGTCAGCTCAGAAGGATATGGCGACTACTTTTTGGAGTTCCAAAGAGAATAGGTTTTCTCAAAGGATATACAGGACAATGACGAGGACTTATAATAAAGAAATTTCAGGAAAATTAGAAATTGAATTGGTGAGGAAAAAACCAAGAAAATTGCACTAAGGAATTCCCTCTCCCTATCTTGACAATGTACCTGCTCTTTCTTTGAGGACCAAGGACTATCCTGTGAGAATTTTTTCTGGGAAACCTTATCCTATCCATCCTACAGCTGTGATCTTTCCCCTTCAGACTTCTTTTTGTTCCACAAACAAAAAAGTCATTTCAGAGGAACATGATTTGAGTCTCTTGATGGTTATTCTGATGTAGAGTAAATTTGAAGATTGCTAAATTCTTCAGAGAAGGATTTGAAAGATGGAAACATCACTTCCAGAAGTATATAGACCCACGGGTGTGCTCAGAGCAGGGGGCCCAAAGAATGGCCCCTCTGTTTATAACACACCCAAGAGGAATCTGGGCTCATTTGTAACCAGGAGCACACAACTTGTGGCTTTCCTATGAACAAATGCCTTACATATTTCTCCCCTGTACCTCCGAAGTAGCTTGGAACCTTCTATTTTTGTGAGGTGGTGCTTGACCTTAGAGAACAATCAGACAAATCCAGAACATGGAATATTCTAAAAGTAACCTCCTGGGTACTTTTAAAAAGTCAGTATCAGAAGCTGGAAAAGTGGAGTTACTAAAGTGGAGACTAAAGACATAATAACAAACAAAAAATGATACAGACCTAGATGGAGGATATGTCAAGAAACCTATAGCATCACATTTTGATATTTTTTTAATGAAGATTTCTATGACTGGTGCTGTCAGATAAGCTTTGGCCTGCCAATAGTTTGACTTACCCTTATAAGTTTTGTTATAGAAAGGACTTCATTGAGGTTCTACTAGCACCAGTTTGGAGCTGAGAGCCACATAAATGTCTTTATGCATTTTGGAAAAGAAACCTGGAAATCGATCTTGTCACCGTCACTGATTCTGCCACTCAGTCTTTCCATTTGAAAACAAGTGTTGGCTTCCTTGATTCTTCTGAGACTTAAAACTCTAAAACTCAATTCATCAAACTTTGGTTACCTTCTAGAAGGCACCCAACTGGCTCATTGGGCTAAACACTGGACTGCTAAATGGAAGGTCAAGCCCACCAGTTGCACGAGTGTCATGGATGGTGCTAGGCACTGGATACAAACATAGCCCTTGCTTTCAAATAACGTAAATGTCTAGTAGGAGAGACAGATGCTTATGCAACTTGCTGTAAGACAGTGTGAGGATTGATTTATTAGCATTGCTTACTCCATGCCTTTTACTACGAGGGAGAAGTAGTTCGGATTGCAGTTTGGAAAAGATTACAGGAAGTAACATGAACTGAACCACCTGGTCATCAGGATTCTTCCAGGTGGAGAATAAAGGGTACTGCCATCGGGGGAAGCCGGAGTAGTAAATGTTATGGCATATTTGTATTGCAGGACCCTTGGAGACATGTTTTAGTAAATGAAGTTGAGCTACTTTGGTATCCAAATTATTGTTTTAAATCTTTAGGCTGCCTCATCCCTAATTCTCCCTATTTCAATTGCTAATTGTGCCATATCATTAAAAAAAATAACACTTTCATTAAATTCATGAGATTTTGTATCTTTATGAGGTTAGTATTTTCATTTTACAGTTAATTTTCATTGTATTGTCAGATTACATTTCCAGCACTTGAGTGCAGACATTGACTAACCATTATGGGTGGAAATGATTGCTTTTATTCGTGAGGATGGGGAGATTATGTCTCTAGTACTTTGGGCATGTTATCAGAAGAGACCAGTCCCTGGAAAAGGAACTCATGCTTGACAGTGAAAAAGAAGAAGATCCTCAACAAGATAGATTGATACAAAACCAAAACGAACCCTCCCCCAACCAAAAAAAAAAAAAATCCAACCAATTTCACTGCCATTGAGTTGATTCTGACACATAGCAACTTGATATGACAGAATATTACTGCCCCAGTAAGAGTAGACAGCTACATCTTTCTCCTAAGGAGAGGCTATTGGTTTCAAACTGCTGGCTTTGTGGTTAGCTGCCCAACATATAACCACTATGCAACTTATGGATTGATGTAGTGGATGCAAAACGGGGCACAAATATAGTAGGCATGGTGCAGGTTCTGTTGCTGCTCTGAGTCACTGAGACAGCACTTAATGATAATGTTAACACATAGTACGTTTTTATGACGAAGTGCTAGCTTTTTTGAGCTTTATCGGTGTCATTTCCTTCATTCTTTATACCAATGATGTAAGTACTCTTCCCTGTTTATAAAAGAGGATACAAAAGCATGTGTAAGTGGAGGATAAAGTTATAATTCATCAGTTTGTACTTTGCTTTTCTTGAAACCTCATAAACTGTTGCCTTGGGAGGGCTATTTGGCCTGGACCTCAAACTAAAGGACCTAATCACAAATGTTCATTTCAATCTTTAAAAAAGTATTTATTGTGGTAAAATATATGTAATAAGAGTTATTTTAATCATTTTAACTGTACGATACGAGTCAGTAAAATTAATTACATTCACCATGTTGTGCAGCCATCACTCATGTCCATTTGCGGGTTTTTTCATCATCCTCAGTAGAAACTGTGGAGTTGATTCCGACTCATAGTGACGCAAAAGGCAGAGTAGAATTGCCACATAGGATCCACTGAGGTCAAAGGTCTTTAGGGATGCAGACCGCTTCACCTTTGTGCTGGGGAGTAGGTGGTAGATGTGAATTGTCAGCTTTGCAGTTAGCAGTCTAATGCCTTTCCTAGTACACCACAAATCCAAAACCCACTGTCAGGGAGTTGATTCCACTCATAGCAACCCTGTATATAGCATTTCCAAGACTGTAAATCTGAACGGACTGGCTAGTGGGTCTGAACTACTTGATCTTGCAGTTAGCAGCACAACCCCCAATCCACAACTCCTTTAATAGAAGTTTGGTACCTCCTGAAATATAACTCCATTTCCTCCTCTCCTAATCTGTGGTGACCACAAGTAAACTTTTGTCTCTGTTGAATTTGCCTGTTCTTGATATTTTATATAAGTGGGATCATGCAGCATTTATACTTTTGTGTGTGAATTATTTCACTGAGCATAATGCTTTCAAAGTTTATCCATACGAGGGGGTACCCCCCAAAAAATCAGAAATTTTTTTTAAATCTGTGTATTTAAACTTTTTTTCAAAACAACCTAATCACCTTCAAAGTACTATCCGTTACACTTAATATATTTGTCAAATCTGTGATTCCATTCTTGGAAACATTTTTCAAACTCATCTGTTTAGATTGCTGACAGCACCTCCCTCGTTTTTTTTTCTTCACCTTTTCTACACAGTCAAATTGCTGTCCTTCATGTCCCTCTTCATTTGGGGCAAGGTCAGGTGAGCAAGTGGGTGGGGCAAGAAAGGAATGCTGTTTTTCACCCAAAACTGGTGCACCGAGATATCTGCGTGAACAGGTTCATTGTTGTGGTGGCAAAACCAGTCCCCTTTCTGCCACAAATCAGGCCTTTTTTTGTTGCACACCATTAGGCAGTCTTTTCAGAATCTCTAAATAGAAAGCTTGATTAACAGTCTGACCTGGTGGAATGAACTCAAAATGCAATACAAGTTGACATTTTTGTCTGATTTGGAAGTTGACGAACATCCAGAATGAGGTCATCAGTCGACATTTTACCTTTTTTGAAACGAGAAAACCACATGTACGCTTCAGTTTTATCTATAGGGCTGTCCTTGTGAGCTGCGTTCAACATCACAACAGTTTGTGGCATTTTTCCTGAGCAAGAAACACAATTTAACAGCCATATGCTGTTCTCTTAAATCAATCGCAAAAAATGAGGTTCAAGCGAAACTTGATTTTACAAAAAAGTCACTGTGACCAGCGAGAACCTTCTCTGGTGACACCGTTGGTGCACTAACTCAGAGCGAGTTGCTGGATGCTTGAAGCCTAGTGGGGGAAATGCAGACGATGAAAGCCCTGCACAGCGGAGCTTTTTTCTGGATTTTTTTTGTTACTCCTCATATATATGAACTTAAATTTTCTTATTGACTGAGTAATATTCCATTGTATGGATATATCACATTTTAAAAAACCAGTCTGTTGATGGATAAAACCAAACCAGTCAGGTGCATTCTGATGGCCTATGGGACAGAGCAATCTATCCCATATGGTTTCCAAGGGTATGCACTAGTAGGTTCAAATTCTGACCTTTTGAGTAGAAGCAGAGCACTTAACCGCTGCTCCACCAGGATTCCTTTGTGGATGGACATTTGTAAGTATGCATCTTGATTTTATAGTTTCTCGATTTTCCCAGGATTCAGATAGCTGGTAAATAACACAAGTTGTTGCTAGTCATTTGAGAATGGGGAACCACTTTCATGAGTTAGGAGACATTGGTGACCCGGCTTGCATTTTAGTGATAGTATGTTCTTGTTATAACTGTGTCTGCTCTCTTTGACACTTCCCAGAAGGGGAATCAAAATACTGCCTTAAAATAACCATTTGTGTCATAACTACATTGTCTTGTGAAAAAATTTTAAAACAGTTCTTTATTTTTTGTAACTTGGTTATGTCATCTTTGATAATTTACTACATTATCCATTTAGTTATTAATGAGGATAAGTTAAAAAGTATTGCTACTAGGGTTCCACTTCATAATTCGTGGGTTTATTTCAAACAAAACTAGCCTAAACATGTCTCTGTGATCAGTGACTGGCTGCAGACAACTTCTCTTAGCAATACACTTGTTTAGTTTCCCTGAGGTGCCTTTAAAGAAACAAAGCTCAGTCAAATGTGGCTTCTGAGGGGACTTGCTGGGCTAGTTGAATTCAAAACAGAAATCAAAAGGTTGCGGTGACAGGTTTTTAGGATCCCAAAGGGATAGATAAATAGATAGATTTTCTTGAAGGACACAAGACCGTCGTGGGTCTTACTATGAAGATATAAGGAAATTGAAAAGTGCAATGGTGAGAAAAAGGCCAAGAAAGTTGTATTGGAGAATTTATTTTGTTTTGTTTTGAATCGTGTAATGTATATACCTGATCATTCTTGGAGGGTAGCAAGAATTGTCCTATGCAAATCTCACCACCCTAATCTTGCCCCTTCAGACTTCTTTTGCCCCACATTCAGGAAAATTGCAAAGGAGCATGGTGTGACTTCCTAAATGATGTCAAGACTGCCGCTTTGATGTGGTATAAATCAGAGAGTGCAAAACTCTTTGGGAAGGGTTGGAGAGATGGAAACCCTGCCTTCAGATGTTTGTACACCTAAATGCAGGCTGTGTCAAACAATGGCTTCATATTTCAATAATTCATATACCAATAGCTTGATATTTTTGTTTCATAAAGGTTTCTATCATTTTTGTAGCAGTACTCTTACCCGCATATTTTAAATCCTGTTGCGATAAAATGGAAAACTTTGCTAAAATTTTACTCATTTGTTTATAAATAACTGATTATTCAGTTGTTTTCAGATGTTTTTGGAACTGTGTAATCTCTTTATAGCCACAT